GATGGATTGGCGATTTCTGACTCATTATTTAGTTCTTAACTCTTAACTGTAAGACCAGATTTACTTACGATATTTTCCTTTATCGTATGTCTGTGGCATCTGAGTAATGTTAGAAAGTTTATATAAATGACAAAATGTAACACTAGTACTTTTCCGGTTTTGAACCCTTTATAAAAATATCTAAAAGGCCTCTTCTTGCATGGGGCATAAGAAAAAGGCTTCCAAGAAAAGCCGAAAAAGATTCGATTCTAATCCCTGTATTATAAATAAATAGATTTACAACATCGTCGTATAAAATCAATTTCAGTAAGTAAAACGAAATGAAGACTAAATAAAATACTTTATGGCTTGTGCGCACTTCCTGAAATTCAAGATTTTATGATTATAACATCATACACATACCTCGTCCTCAGACCAGGTAAGTGGCCGTCAAACCTAGAGAAACTGTATATTAAAAGCTATATAAAATATATTATACATACACCTTGTGCCTAACAATGTTGTTAGATAACTTGAGTTTCTCAGGTAAAATAGTTTTGACTACCTATTCAATAAATAAAACATAAAAAATATTATTTATTTGAAGAATTTTTTTTAGTTTATTATATTTCATATTTAATTTAAAAATATTTTGTGAAATCAGTGTAGGTATGTTATCTCTAAAAAATAATAATTTAAGAAACCATTTTCAAATTTAGAAATTGGTGTTGTATTCGTCAACTAATCAAGTAGCCAATAAAGACAAACCTAACCTAGACAGGAACATTTGACTGCTTGCTTAGATTAAATTATTTTTAGACGTCTAAAAATTTGTTAGACTTGATAACACAATATTTAATTTAACTTGACTGTCAACAGAAAACTTTATGAGTCTCAATTTGAAGTAAAGACATAAGTAAAGTTAGCAAATTAAGCTCCAACCACACTTGACTGCAGGAGTTGAAAAACGGAAACTTTATCTAATAAAAACAAAATGAAAATTTTCCTAAGTGCAAAATTCTGTTCGATAGTGAAACATCAATAAAACTTCCTTGCTAATCTATTCTAGGATTAACACTCCACAAGGTCGGCTTTAGGCTCTTCACTTGCCACTTCAGTTCACTCGTAATGGATCAATGTATTTACTCAGGAGTTCAACCTCCTTTTACAAACGGTACACTTTTATCGACATCTTTCTGATTATTTTTACTGCTAATAAAATTACATCGACGCATTTCGCTCGGAGCAAAAACATTTACAGAGCTGCCTTAATATCTAGGCTAAAACAAGATCTAGAACGTTGCAGAAAAACTGGCCTGGATATAAATAACTCGTACGTCTTTATCAAAAAGAAATAATAAATAGGATCAGCATTAGAACCGACTATTAAATTACTGTAAAACATTCAATTTCCATCTCCATTCAAAACCAATACATAACATTACAATACGAAATACGACAGATATCGAAATACGGAATATCGTAACATATTTCGGAGCAGATATCGGGGCTCGGAACGGATGTGACGGTCTTAGTATCGTCTCAATAATACGTGATCAATTGAACAATTGTCTTCCCCCAGATTTTCCTCACTGCTCCGACGTATTTTGTTACAAGTTGTCCTGATTCGTCTACATTACATTATCCTTCTGTAAGGTGATATCTTAATGCTATTTGAAAGTAAACAAATAATTACAACGTCGATTGAATATAAGATAAGCGAGTATAGGGGTGTTTTTGTTGTTTGTTGAAGTGAAACTACATATATTGGAAAACTTTACAAAGCCCGAATTTAGAATCACTTTCTCTTCTGTCTACGTGTTTCCGTAATACATATATTGTTATTGCACTGGCAGCTGTCATTTGTTGATGAATGTAAATTACAATCGCACTGTTCCCAAATAAGCAAGATAGGCAGACCATTGACCGAATGGTAACTATTATTAGAAGCAATTTTAGTGACCCATTTGTTTACAAAAGGTTGACCCGAATCCCATTGTTGGATCCTTTTCAATGGAATAATACCGGTCTCATCACGCGGTAACTTCACAAACTAAACTTGGTCACATCGCAAATCATATGTAAATCCTCCCCTTCAAACACTTCAAAAGACATATCGCTTTACATAAACTCTGTAAGGGTTTTATAAACACCCATAAAATTCAATTCGGACAAGCTTATTACGGTTTTAACATCAAAGATAGTTGCGAATGAGCCACGAAGCGAGATAATGAAAAGGGCCAGTCGTTAGACGACGGAACCCTAAGCAGCAATGGTCCGCGATATGAAGAATGTTGCCGTCCATACAAACTCTGCTCGTTACAACTACCCTCGCTAATGACGACGGCCAACCTTTTTGTGCGATACTTGGTCATTCGTCTTACGGCCAGCGACATGTGCAGACGATTCTACATGCCGTCCGCCGTCAGAGCACGAGATAAATGAATGGACTTTTCATTACCTCGCACCTCTAAATAAGGCCGACAAGGTCAGTTTTACGTTCAACATTTATGGACACGTCAAAATAGTATATAAGTATACTTACTGTCAAAAAATTATTGACCTTTCGATTACGTCGCTATTTGGGACGCCGTTCGCGAGCTTTCCTTCACAATCAAAAATTTAAATGAGTTTCCTCGTTTCACGAGAAAAGCGTATTTTTCTTCTAATGCCATTTTGGGATGGTATTACTCTTAAATGAATATTCATTCGGTGCGAAATCGTTTAGGAGATAATAGATTGAGGTTCATATTAGGTTCGGAATGAGTTGAGGCGTTTCGTTATGTATGCGGGAATTTGGTGGGTGACTTCTTCCATTGGGGTTAATTGATCGGAGAATGATTACTCGCAGATACTTACTGAGTCGAAGTAATAAAGCAACTGTGCAATCTGTTACCTGGAAATAATAAATAACATATCATCAGTGTGACGAACATACATTTTAGCAAACATAATCAGTGTTATCAGAGCAAGCGGATTAAAGCCCCAAACTTTGCAGATAAGTGTAATTACGATTTTGCACAGCCTATTTAGGTTATCACATAAAAAGGGTAACATATTCATGTGCGAACTGCTTATCCCGGCTACGAGGCTAACAATAATACATATGGAGTCCTCCATTTATTTATCCAGGCGTCTAAGCAACACTGACAAATGGTCTCCATCAAAATAACCGAACGAAACCTGAGAGAAAAATCCCAGATTAAAGTTGCACAATGAACTCCTCAGTATCCGAAATTCTTACGTAATTTCCCGGGAGGACATAGAAAAATGTAGCTTATTACCTAGCAAGGAGAAGGTAACTACAGTCGAAACTAACTTGCCATTGTTGAAAGTTACAGTTTTCAATCTTGAACAAGTTACTTCATAATTCAGGCTCCAGGGACAAAACTGGAGCCACAACTTTTACCGGTGGGAATTTGGTAGCACAGCAAGAAGTTATTATGCGAAGTCAAACAAACTGAATGACCGGCGCGACGCGTTCGGGCGACCTGCATGAGCCTGAAGCACGCGATTCCCATGCGAGCCATTCTCGTGAGCTACACCTGACTGTTTTACCACCAAATAGAATTTTTAACGCCTAAACGAAAACATGTTTAACTCTACAAATTAATTTAGTTTTATCAGCATCCTCCGTCAACGTCAGTGCTCTCGTTATGGGCCCTTCTCAGGCACGATGAGTGACGTTTTAATTACCTACTTGTTACTTAACGTCTCGTGGATATTGTTTTTATTAGAAACTTTATTTTATTATTACAAAGCTTATCTTTTAATGACAAACTTCAAAATTAAAAAATGTCATTCTTTTTCTTAATTCGAAATGTATGTATTGTAGTATCGTACGTTTAAATCTTTAAAAATAGAACGTCTTCATGTTTGGATTAGTTTGAATCTATCATTATTTGAAAATGGAAATGTAAACACAATGTATTTATTTCGTTTAGTTGTCATTGAGTAGTACTGGTGTATAGGTAGCAAGAGTATAGTGTGGCCAGTATAATAGACGCGCATCTCCACGTCAAATCCTCTAGCGGCCGCGTGTCGCCGGTTGATAAGCAGTCGATGGGCGAGAACGAAGTGATTCAAGTGATCAGCAGTAGCGGGAACTTGTTAATCTATATAATATATTAGTAAAGCTGCAGAGTTAGTTTGTTTAAACGCGTTATTCTCCGGAACTATAGGTTCGAATTGAAATTTTTTTTTGTGTTTAATAGACCATTTTTTGATGAAGGCTATTATAAAACATCACGCTATGAGCTGTAGGAGCCGAGCATCAGGTGAAACGGCGCGAGAGTAGCTGGTTGATTTATAAAATAAAAAAAAATCACCTAGAGTCTAAATTTTATTTGGCTTTATAAATAATAAAATAAGCGAACAACAAATTGACGTTAAAAGTAGGTAAATGAAGAACCGTATCAACAAACTATTCCCTCAAACAGGGTCCATCAACAACTTTAAGTGATGGGAACCCCAATAAATAATTTAAACCAATTGACTACGTTTAAACACTCCACGGGAAAGCTTCCGAGGTCAATGACAACTCATGTGAGAGAACAATACGTAGGAACAAGAGCTAACAGCTTATAGTTTGAACCGCGTGTAGTTTGTGACGGTACGCGATGATAGCAAGACCTTGTTAACTAACCGTTGACCAACGACAGTTACGCTTTGCCCCCCACTATTACTGACGACACTAACGTTTTAAGTCAAAATTCAAGACACCCCGCCTCTTGTTTTTAGTCTTCTCTTAAGATAAACTAAGAAAATTTATGTTGTTTTTAATGGATACTTAATTATGAATGCCTTTAAAAAGTTCTGTCAGTTCAGAAGGCAGATGTTGTTTTATAATAAGACCTGTATAAACGATACAAATGATAGCAAACAAACCGCCGGCGGCGGTCGACCACGAAAATGACTAGCAAATATATTTCGTAGACATTTTACACAAGACAATAGGCGCGCGATATGACGAAAATTTTCAATTAAACAAAACAAAACGTCGACGCCTTGGAGGGTATTGTATGGTGCGACAGTTGGCATTGGCGGGGAATGGCGTGGAATGGCGTGGCGTGGCGGACGTCCGGCGCGCGGGCCCGGCAATGGCGCGGGATACTAAAGCCGTCGTCGACGTGAGAATGGCGCGCGACTCACTCGCGCCATTACGCTTGGAATGGTGCAGATTACGCGAAGTGATATCATACGGAGGCACTGAGGTAACGTCTAGGAATTTATAACTAGAACTGGAGCCAATGTAATGGGGTCGCGGCTTGTTCTGCCCATGGGGTATTTACTGTAAATCCGAATGTTGTTGGCAATTAATCAATTGTATCGCTGTCCATCTACAATTGTAAACCAGATTCTAGGGGCAATAGTTTAAATTGTTGAAACTAATATGTTTATAAACCAATCATATTTAATTCTCAGCAATAACATGAATACATTTCTATAAAATTATTACGTAACGATCTGACCTTTACCGAAGTGATTGATATTACTAAATAATAAAAAGACCGTATATAAAAACTTTTTTCCCACATCCGTAAGCAGCTTTTGACCTCCACACGTCAAAGTTAAAAAGCATCATTTTATCTTAACATTTAAAGACCTTATTCAATCACGCACATCATAAAACGTGACATCATCTTGGTATTCAGTGCTCGACTACAAATGTACAATACGATACAAATCTCGCGGCAGACACTCGGCAAACATACAGTAGTATCTCCCCTCGTTTCCTGCATCGTAAGTAACACACGTCCCATGTAAGTATACAAACATATTTTCGTAGCTCCCATTTCGCAACGCTAGATTTTATCAACAAAACAATAGAGTAAAAATTTGCGTAACACGACACTTTTGAAACGGCAGCAAAATCGGGTGGTAGTTCTGTGAGCGTCAATCTACCGAGAGGGAACGCTATTTCGGTCTGCATGGCATACACAAGCGGTCTTTGAAATTTTAATCGTTACATTCACCCTGCCCCGATGGCACACTGGAGACCGCGTGTTACCATGTTCATCAAGCCACCACCAAAAGGATAAAAAATGATAAAGTGTGACAAGCGTTTGCGGTAAACCCCTTATTTTGGGTCGTGTCAACGTAAATTGAGCCCTTTACATGTTGATCGATGTGACTCCACGTCTCTTATTACTGAAAACTTCAAAAGATTTGCGAAGCTGTAAAATAGTTCGTTTCTAACCTAACCCTGTTAGCATTATAAGAAAAGTTTATCGCTAAAAAGCTCTTGTTGAACTTGTCTAGCAAGTTTGTTCAGTACTTTTGTTAGATTAATGGTCTTAAACACACGTATTCATTACTGAAAGTTTTAATTTAGTAAATTGAATGAGTTTGAGATTGGAAGTCGGTATTATAAAATATTATTTATGCTTGTATTGTTCTGCACCCCACGGTCTCCGCGGCCTAATTTTCCCGTCCGACTCAAAGGAACTGGTTCGCCTATTAGCACTACTGCTGGTACCTTTACAAAAGATCTGTCTAGATACAAACTCGTATTATTGAGATACAAATTCATTCAACTTAAAATGGGGTCAGTAGGGCTTGTGGCGACCCTCTTATTTAAATACACGTGCCTCACAATTGGTAAAAAGTATTAAATTTAAATTACACATTCATTTTTTCCTATTCGCAAAAAAAACAAATTATCTTTAATTTACATAACATTCATAATACTGCATTCACGCGATGTGAATTAATTCCTAAGATACCATAACATCTAGACAAAAGTCCAAGTTTTATTTTAGGCCACAAATCACCACTAAGTTTTATACAATTTAATTATCCCAGCAACCTCGACAAAGGCATTCTAATTAAGCAAATTTATTATAAATCAATTAGCGAATTAAGGGATAAAATATAAAGAAAATCTAATGTTACATTACTGTCTAGCATTCTTATAAAAAATTTGAAAATGTGGATCAAATATTGTCTGACGTCTTTCAGGATTCTACTGGAAGTTTTTCTTAATATACTTATGATAAATCAATCTTAACCAGGTACAACCAAAAAAACAGTATTTGACTATTTTATGCCTTTTATTATCTGTGCTCTACACCATTAGTCGAAACGTCATTCCAAGTTAAACTTGTAAGGAGCAAACTTGGGACTGAATAGAATCGGAAAGCCAGATTTGATAGATAAGGTAAAAGATGATCCTGTTCAGAGTATTCTGTTAGGCAGTAGTTTGTGGTGATGGTATATTAGATACATTAAGTACATACCTATAAAACTCTTTCAAAAACGGACTATGTAGATATATTGTAATCGCAACATATTGTTAAACCGCGTCGCAATTTATGTATGTTAAACCTAAAACTTTTTAATTGTGTTGTCCGGCTCACTTGCCAAGATTGAAGATAATAAGACCTTCCTATGTAGAGGTTGTTCAGTCTATCAGTGGACTATAACGGGCTGATAATCTAAGTGTAAAGAATGATCACCCATCCAAAAACTAAAATTGTCAAGCACGGCTTCACAATAGTGTTCCTCATTTAATTGATACCGGCTCTATACGTGATAAAAATGTCGTATATTGTAAGAAGTGTGTAGAACGTAGACCCTATTAAAAGTATGCGAAAAAGCGTATGCATGTGTATACGCCCTATTATCCAGAACCGTTGATCCGATTTTGATGAGACCTCGCACTCCGGAAATATGGGCTTCCATTCATAGAATGCAAGGGGAGTTTCGAGTTACAATTATATTCTGGATCGTGAACTGAGCTGAAACGTATTCGTGCGGTAAATAAAGTTCGTAGTATCTACGCGGTAACTTTTTGGATAGTAATAGAAAAAATATTTTTAAACTATATTTTTTTTCCACTGAAAGTTGTAATTTACTAAGCGTGAACTAAAATTAAGGCCTCGATATTGAAATAAATTGACGAACAAGTTCATTTAATTTACCAAAAACAAAATTCGTATCTCCTAACGAACTGGTATTCAGGTCCAATCATTATAATATTTTGGTTCATTTCATTCGAAAATTAAAAGAACAAAAACCGCGTCAAAATAAAAACAAAACGTACTGCGGTGAAGTGAAGGAGCCGACGGTTAAAATGAGCGTCTAAACTCGACGAACATTTTAACGAATGTTAACCTCACATGACTTCGGGACAAAGGCACAAGTTATGCCACAAAAAAGTTTAAACATCGTGTATAAACATTCCTCGCTACATTAAAAACTCTAAAAAGTCGCTACATTATATATCATTTAGGGCAAAAAATGTGTAGTAGTACCTGACACGCGAGCTCGAGGCCGCTTGCTATGAGTCCGCTAATACGGCCACGCGTGTCCTGTCCTGCTTTAAAATTCAAATCTTATTTACATTCACCCCCTGGCTTGCTGTCTCCGAAAATGGGTCTTAACTAACTCTGAAAATACTCCGCTCTGGGACTATTTTCGGAGCCCCTTTAGGACTGTTAAAATAGAAAGTTCAAGACCCATAATATGGTTTCAATAATTGTAACTTATTTTTAACCTATATTCTACATTTCGAAACTAAAAAACAGCCACCTTTTTTTTTTGCGCACCGATATCGAAACACGTTATGAAGATTTATAAAAATAAATGTCCTTGCTTAGTCTTTATTATTAGCACTTGTTAATATGAAGAACAATGTAATATTTCCTGCTACATTAGCATCGCCAATTTAGTCAGTTACCATTTAATCTCGTTAGCTGTTTAATTCTGCACGCTGTGTAGGGTTGACAGTTGGCAATGGGATTCGACTAATAAATCATTATACGACGATATCGGGTCCTTGGAAACGCCAATTTTCCGAAGTACACGGCTCGCTGTGTCAAACATTCCTATCGAAAATGTACATCTTAAAAGACGATGTCAGAAGATAATTTTGATAGACATTGCAAAATTAATAAAATAAACAAATATTTAAAACTCAAACAATCTTGACAGTCAATCTTGAATTCCGTAGATACGAATCTTAGATTAAATACTTTTTAGTAAACAACAAAACAAAAGCATTCAGACGGAGTAAATAGGTTTGATATTTAAAAGAATAAAAAAGTTTAAAAAATGTTGCGCAATAATACACTTAATTATAAGTTGTGTTCGCGCAACAAACTTCAAGGTCGCGCGGTCGCCTTTGACCTCAGTCACCCCGATTTCATTTAATATTCAAATAGATAAACTCGTACTCACCTTGCAGGGAGCGGTTATCGTTAATTTTTAAGACGGTACTATCATAAACGGTCAACTGTACAAGCACTCATCATACTCACATACAGGTGCTTAAAGTTTTTTTGACCTTTCCTACAATGACGAAACCTTTGATTCAGGTGTTAATTGGCATTATTTTTGCTTCTTATGATTTCATCAGTAGAACTGACTTAATAAAAAAAGATCTTCCACTTAGTATATGTAATTAATAAGCAAAGCTAATTTAAAATATTTAAAGACCGTACATACGTTCTTTTGTTTTGATGTTAACTGAGGCTACTTTTTGGCTGCTATTGGTATCCAGCTAATAGCGAAACTAATATGGCTCAAACACGAGTCTATTTTAAGGAAGTATATTATGTAAAATGTCCATGGTATATTTAGAGAAACTATCTTGTGTTAGAATGTCCATATTGCTACATACGTACACGAGCATGAGCACTTTTAAAAATAGAATAGAAAAACATTCGTGACTATATACTTATTGCAATTAATAAGGGGAGCGTGTCGCTGAGAAACAGTGTCAGAAACAGTAGGTATATAATGCACCATACTTTTTAAGTACGGATATATTTAAACAGACTAAAATTAAATAAAAATAATAACAAATCAAAACAATGTAAAACGTCGCAAAAAGTTCACAATTTCTTTTTTATGTGATAGGTAAGCAATCAGCGCTGCCCATGGACACCCGCAACAACAGAGGAGTTACAAGTGCGTTGCCGACCCTTTATGGATTTTGGATTTGGAGATTTAGGGATTGAGGGGGAGAATAGGGATTGAGCCTCCGGTAACCTCGCTCACACGGCAAAACGTAACGCTGATTATTTCACGCCGGTTTTCTGTGAGGCCGTGGTATCCCATTCGTGCCGATGCATGGCTCTCCCACATGTAAAATTCAATATAAAGAATTGCTATCCTTATTATTTATACAATTATAAAAAAGTTATTAAAACTATAACTACACTTAGTTGATTCAACTGTATAATTATGTATAATAATGATCGCATCACAGCCGGATCATTTTATTACCTGCATTATTATCTGCGCACAATTACAAATAAATTATTGCATCCTTACAACGAACATTTAATATGAGAAACAAGCCTATAAATACCGGAATCTGAATAGACTGTAAATAAAATCGATTACCTTAAGTACCATTTAAGGTAAAAACCTAGAGATGATACTGGCTAGAAATAATTTATGTGTGTAATTATATTCAAGAAGATAAGTGATAAACCGGTAGTCCTTGAACGCAGTATGAGACCCTCTTTTGTTTGTTATCACTCAATCTGTTGCGATGATAAACGAAGCTTAGTATTCTGACGGTAATGAGTAAAACTTGTAGAGGATTTAAGATTATAATGTTAGTACCTATTCATATGACCTATTTTACAATCGAGGAAGTAAGTGGCTTTACATATTACATCGTCGCCCAAAACTTGCAGTTGATATTGGGTACATATTTTTTGCTAAGGATGATATAAAACCGCGAAATAGTGCTAGTCTGCTTTGCTTACAGAATTTAATTATTTGTAAATAACAATAATATAATAATTATATTTTATACTGAAGGAATCAGAGACTACTAGATTCCACGCTTAGTCTTATTTGATATTCCATTTGGATCATAATTCCGTTTGGCCACGGCTGGAGCGGGCAGGAAATCTTTTACTCTTAGACTCTTACCGAATAAAAACAGTTTTTGTCCAATAAGAGTCTGACACTCTCTGGGCGAGAAAAGGCAATCAAATGATTTTTGGTCCTTAAAAAAAATATTTCAATTTTGACAAGAACGCAAGTACTTAATCGTAAACAATAAAAAAATGGTGTTCTTCAAAATGCTAATCGTCTTGGTTAAACCCGGGTTCCGATAGATACTGTTAACATAGAAACGCTAAAATCAAGGACAGAGAGAAGCATTGACATAAACTCAATGGTTGAGACGCTTGATATTCAGTTAAGAACGATAAGAATAGGGAATAGGGTTCCAAGCCCAATAATTATGATAATACCTATAATAACAGACTTAAATGACGTCACTCTGTTGTCTTTAACCGTTTCGCTTAAACCGAAAGCACAAAACGTTATTAGTTTAATGAGACTAGACTTGACAGGACGATTTTTCACTAAGACAGTTAATTAAAGTCTCACGGTATTAGCTGGAACATTTGTTCATAATAGGATACGTATTTAGAGACCATTAGGTATGTGTTTCTAGTTTGAAATCTTTTATGAATAATGTAAGTTGGGATCTGTGTAGATTTATTTGGCCTTGCTCTAATACTAAGAGTCAATACAGCAAATATTTTTAATTTGTTTACTTTAAATCATCTTTTACATTCCGAAAGTAGTCCTGAAGGATTATCTTGTATAACCTGGAGGTCTTCAAGGCCCGAATGAATAGGTTGCTATGGTTAGGCATGCTCCATCGTAGATCGCATTGTCGTTTACCACCAGGCGTGACAGCAGCTAAATGTCTGTCCATTTCGTAATAAAAATTTTACTTAACAGAAGTTAAATAATCCTTCGTTTCTTCTTTTTCTCCCAATTTCCAATCCCTAAATTCCCAACACCCGGCAACTCACATATAAGTTTACAACTCCTCTGCAATAAATAAATAGTTTACAAGGAAAGATCTTATAACATAAAAGTCACTGTATTCTGCCAGCTCCTTTGCTGCACTATCATATAAAAATCATTCCTCTGGTGTTGTGGGTCCATGGGCGGCGGAGATTGTCGCAAAAAATATCGTCGATGACATAATCCAAATGTTTACGAAATACCACCCAAAGCCACAAGCGTAGGTACCTAAATACAACAAACATTATTTCTGGCGATCCACCATATAAAATCCAAATATATCTTTATTTAATGAGACTATTTAAATAAACTAATAATAGAAAAACGCTAATGAAAGGCAAGCGAGATAATTTAAACACTGCAAACAAAACAAACATTATGGTATTTAAATCTTTCAATTCGCTCTTTAAAACGTGTAGACAGTTCTGTCGTCGGGACCGAACACGTTTTGTTTTTGCTCTGCTCTTAATAACGGGCGCCGCATATTGCCCCTTTTAAATTAATTGCTGCGTAACGATCAATCATCACAGATGTCTTGAATTGTCTTCGGAATTACCCTTAATCATTTTCAGGATTTGTTTCGAAAATATTTATAAAACATTGCTATTTTGCATAGAGAAAATAAGTTTTAAAAAAATTGCGGAGTCATTTGTTTCTGTATACGCTTTTAGGACAGACAATGAACATTTTTATACCTCCGTATTGCGTAACAGCTGCACATCGTTTATTTCATTATTGAATCAAACAGAACTATCAGTCATTCATTTTCTTTACCTGTACCTACCTTTAACACACAGTATGCGGATTACGAGTGACCATCCATATCCTTCCTAATTCTATTTCCCCTCACGTAGCAGTCAATCAAACAGTAATTACTAAACAGCGTCCGGAATTGTTGATTCGTCCAAAAATAGGGACACATGCGCACTGACTTAGGTTAGTTCCCCGTTTAGTGACGGTTGCCGTCGTCAGTTCACGGCTGAAAGCCAGCTGTCACCATATGACTTACTAGTTACACGGTTTCACACCCAATCAACACACATCAGAGAGTCTTGAAGAATTGTCGAGCTTGATTTTTTTACGTTAATGATGGATTACATACATTGTGTACTGACAAATGAATACGATTTTTATATATTTTTTTTAATTTCTTTTTCAAAAATATCTTTGAATAAGGAAACAACCATAAACAAGCGAATAAATATATTTCAAATGTTTTTTTTTTTGTTTGTTCACAATATCTAGCATCAATTTGACATCTCTATCGAAGGCAAAAAAACAAGGCGCAAAGCACTCGCGTCATTAGTTTTTGCGCAAATTATTAATATGTTAATGTGCATGAATACTAAAAGGCAACCTCGAGTGTCGAGCCTTGAAAAAGAACGCGATAAATCTGTAATTACTGTAATGAATGACAACTGACTAGAACAATAAGAAATCCTTATCTGTATCTTCGTTGTCACGAAAAATTAACGGCGTGGAAAAAACATGCAACAATTGAGACAAAACGAATGTCTGGAACGTCCACACTGACAAATCGATTAGTGTTCTGTTGTGTATCCAAAATGAGATTAATGTCGATTGTACGAATCGAATAAAATATTAAACTGAGTAAAGAGCACTGCTTTGGGTTCATTACTATTAGATTATTCCTACCTTCCCCAATTCAAGTTATAAGACGATTTTAGATCATTGAAAGTCAACGAAGAGGTAATGAGTGTCCTTGACATGGTATACACATAATAAAATCCATTTTAAGCGTACAGCATTGAAAATCAAAAGTAACAAACAACACGGTACTCAACATACTACCATCGAAAGAATTTTTTAAAGGAAATAAACATAACAAGAAACTTTGTATGAACATGTAAACGTACAAAGTGGTTTAGCTACTTTAGCTAGTAGGTAATTGAGTTTCCTGACAAACTTCGACAAAAAGAAAACGACGAAACCACAGCGCAATGACACGTCTTTGACAAATGTAAGCAATTAAACACATGTAGGAACGCTTTAAATTAATAAAATATATTAATAATACTAGGAGTCGGGACATCAGCGGAGCATCAACGAAACGCGTCGACGCACCCGAGATATTACCGATGCGTTCGAAGCGCGTTCACCTGCGATCGAGGTGAAGGTCACGCGCGTCATGAACTAAACGCGCCCGAACGCAAATGTCAATGTAAATATTGTAGGTATTCCCGCCATGTCGGCCATCTTGGATTTCGGCTTGACCGGTTTTGGGATGAGACCCAGAGTTTAAAGCAAAGGAATGACGGCTTTACTGGATTTCTTTACCCGTCACGGAGTTTTGTGATTGTTAAACTATTCCATTGTTTATTTTACTCTACAACATTATTGCATCAACGTTTACTTACCTAACGTTAACTAAGCGTTAAGAACTTATAGTTAAGTATGCGTTAATTGTCTGTTTAATTAATTTAGTAATGTCAGTGATAAAGTTAATGATCTTTTTGAGGGTATTATAGTTTTTCTATTCGTAGGTTTAAGAAGTCTTAACTAGACTTTTGTTTAAATCATAATTGATTCTTTAGGAAATGAGTGTTATAACTACTTAAAAGACAAAAAAGTCGTAGGTAGATATTGCATTAACTTAGATTTTATTAATACCTACAAATTAAGTTAGACGTAAAATAAATTATATTACTTACTCTACTCTACTCTAGTAACATTCATATTGAATTTACATACTCGTATTCGTGATCAAATAAACGAAATAGAATGTAAATATAAATTAATAAAATAAAAAATACTGGATGATATAACCGCTACAGCTAGAGCGTATATTCGCAAACACGAAAATCACTTAAATCAAAACTAGTTTCTATGTACTAAAGTAAAAATAAAAATACAAGTAAAAACTCAGCAATTAGACAATCACATTTATTTAAACTGATCAAATATTCAAATAGGGAGAGATCCAGCAAATCTTTAAAAACAAAACTTACGTAAACGATTCAACCGTTGATTAAGAAACCGGTTGAACACCATCTAAAGTGGTATTTTAAAACTTAAATCCCTTTCCGCCCTTCTGAATCGGGACAAAGGTACCAATTAAGCTTCATAATCGCCGGCACCCTTATAATTAATACTACAGATATTAAAACTGCTGCAATAAACGCACAGCTCTGTACAGACTACACAAAAAATACACAATCGTAGCTTTGTGCTCTACCGAACATTAATTAAGAAGAAAAGAATTTCATATTAAAAGGTCTCGAAATTTTTACTCCGAAATGAACTTTATTTTCCAAGATTTAAAGTTCGCTTCGCTAAATGGAGTAAGGTCAGTGTTGAGCATACATATACATACATACATAGAGATGTGAAACGTCTTGATATTTGTCTCTTTTTCGATACAAAAATTAAATGAAAACTGCAAGTTGAAGGTGTTCATTTTATATACTTAATAACTATTTTTCAATTAACATACTAAAGGTGCATTTATATTACATAATTCATAGTTCATAATAGTTTACATAGTATAAAAGTATTCATGGTCGATTACATCCGAATGACTATAAAATCTATCGATACCATCGACCGTGATGTGACACGACTTCGTGATATTTACACAGGTAACAAACCTATTACAGCATAGTATATATAAAACTACATAAAAAGGTGTCGTTAATTGAAGAGCACACATACGATAGTTTAGTATGAATGTAGTTTGATAGCGTGGAGGGGACAGCGCGCCGAGTTACTAACGAGGGGAAAAGTGCCTATTTCCGAGGCGTAATGACGTCGTGTCAGCCCTCTAGCCCAGCGAAACACCGAGCCTGAATAGAATTCTAGATAATATTCGACAACCTCTACCCATCGACAATACTTCACGAAATAGGGTACTAACTACTAACTATCAAATTTCAATCCACGACAAGGTAAATTCGACATTCACTTGATTTTCCTGATTGTAATCTTCAGCCCGATTTAATAGGGAACTTGTGATGTCTCAAATAGAATTTGGGTAGAAGGCTTCTAAGAAGTTAATTATCCGATATAATAGGGGTCGATGACCCGCTTGAAGATAACAGGCTTTTCATATTGACAATTTTGTATAAGGATCGTACTCTGAGGTAGAGAGGTCCATAACAAAATCACGGGATCTACTAAGTATTAAGTTCGCTCATTCGCATTTTATTTTATGTTATTATTTATTTTAGTTAGCGGTTACTGTGAACATATTTCAAGTGTGTGTATAATGAACATAATATTATAATTAATAAAGATGGTGTTTATTCAAAATTTGTATAACGTACACAAGTAAAGTTTTGACTTTTCTAAATTCGTAACAATAATGAAACGTGGCTGCGAAAATAAACATTCGGGAAACAACGAATTGGTTGGACCCTTGTCTGGTGTCCTGAGATTTATTTAAAAAGTTAGTGAACCGTTGCGTGTTTTTTAATCTGTATCTATCGAGTGTACATCTGCAGATAACGAATTACATTGGTAACATTGTTTGGCTTCTATTATGAAGTTTATATAGTTGAGATGTGCTGTTTTCTATGGGTCAAGTTATTGCTTTATAAGTTACTTACATGGCATTTTGAAGAAAGTGTATCTTTGTTTGTAATATAGCATCATCCAAAATACACCGAATTAATTTTGAATTTCATGTAAACCATGTAAATAGGTACATGTAGGCTTACAGGAACTACATAATATACAATATTAAAAAGAAATGTAGTTTTAATAAAATCGAATGTGCTTAGGAACATATTCACATGTTTACCTATTTAATAAGTTATTTCCATGACTAACTTTTTAATATTTAAATTTATATTATTTCTTAAAGGTATATTTACAATGAAATACATATATTTACACATAAGTTTACATTGCTTGATATTAATTAACGCTTAGCAGTATGAAGCTAATTAATATACATGAATCCGATACTTGGAACTGAATCACTGAATCTATACTGAAACAGTGAGAGAATAAGCAACAATAAAAAATAAAACTTGATTTGCAAACCTAATGTAAATAATAATAAGGTTCATATTTGCTTTTTGCGGTTTTATATTTTACTAAGGGTTATCGGACTACAAATAAAAATTTAAAAAAAAGAATTATAATATTAAATAACTAGTTAACTTCATACATTAAATAAGTAGTTAAATACATAATACAAATGATTGCGCCTGGGCAACTCGGGCTAACAGGATCATGAAAATAATATAGAATAAATATTATTCTTGGCATAGATAAAACTTATATATTATAAATCTAAAGTAAAAAACATATTTGTTTCACTATGTCTCGATAGCAGTTATAGGTTGTAATGTTTGAATATGGAACTTAATTTGCATGAACTATGTGCCACGAAGGTTTATCTAAAACAGGTCTTACGCATCATCACCTAGATAATAAATACAAAACTACGTTGTTTTAATAACTATCGTGAGACATACTAAATTAACTAAAAATCGCGGGTTACTCACGTCTGTATTGAGAAAAGCTACTAGTTTCGAACCACAGAGAGGTTCTTCCTCATGATCAATATAGACGTGAGTAACCCACGATTTTTAGTTAAAACTACGTTTGTTTTTTTTAAACCATTATTTGATTTTAATTCTGTAGATACTTGAAGAGGAGTAATATAGACAGTTTCATTAACTACGCGAGTGAAGTTGTAGTAGGAAAAATATGTAGTTTTCTATAATTTTTTAAATAAAAGACAATTCCTATAGTTTATAAAAGTGTGAGTTTTCAACACAAGGATACTTTCCACGCCTCCCTTTATGCTAAATAAATTTTATATGCAGCAGTCGTCGGAAATATCGCAGATTCGCAGTAAACAACGCCAACTTTGCTAGAATGTTTCGAGGAAGGTCCTTGACCCGCAAACTTTGTACAACTTTGGACACAGAGTCCGGGGTAATAAATATGGACAAACTTTTTCTTCAGCCTTAAATGAAAAAGCTTGGACAGACTCGAGTGTGGACGATTTAACTTGAATGAAGTTCTCTATCATTATGAAGTGTAGAAAACTAGGAACGTTTGCGCCCTAGTGCGGAATATAGCAATAAAGTTCATCTCTAACGATGCAGCATCTGTTTGTTTTAATAGCCTCACGGTTATTATGAACAACCATAATAATTATTCTATAAACCCGATGCTAAAATGAGCAAATATTACCTTCCAGATGCTTCCAGCACAATTTTAATAAAACTAGTTTAGCTAAACTTAGCTAGACTTCTAGCACTCAATAAAATCAAAATAGCTTCAAATTTTAATTTCGTTTAAATTCCGTTGAATATTATCCGAGATATAAATAGCGTTTAACGTTATTTTACGTTGCAATAGACGAATATCGTAGAGTGCTCTAACAAATGAATTTTCAGCGGAGTTCGCTTAAAATTCAGAAATTGTGAGACAGCTCCGAAACTATTAAGTAGTGCAGGTAAAGCAGAGAACGCTTTCGTGAAGCGCTTTTAATACACTCTGGGTTTTACTACGTATCAATTTATGACGGATTTAATTCTAAATTAATATGTAAAATACAGCTGGCAAAAACAACAAAACGATTTTGAAACAAACCACTGAATGGTCGAAGATGAAACGTAAAATCGTGTTACGTCTGGTATTGTAGTCATATTTCAAAGGGATGCCACAATAAATCGAAATAATGCCTCTAGTGAAGAAGATCGCAGCAATATCGAATGAATAAAGGAGAGTTGATTTTTTGCGACTAACCTAAAAGGGTATCTTAAGTACGGAATCCCGCAAACATTATCGTGGAGGCACGGACCCTTCCCTTAAGGTGAGCACTTTTATATGCCCATCAAACCTTACGAGTACAATAAAACACGATTGTTTTCCATTAAGATCGACGGCCACCATCCCTAAAGTGAAAAAATGTATGAAACATTTATTCAGAATCTGTGATGCTATTATACAATTGTCGTGCACGCGCCGTAATCGAAAATCAATGAAACGAGTGAAACAGATAGGTGTGACTAATAAATTATTGGAACATTGTTGAATTTAATACAAAAGTTGAGCACGGTCAGCAAGAGGAATTGCATCATGACAGCTTTTCTATTACACTGTCTCAGGGAAGGCTTAAGGCATCCGACAGAGACGAAAACCTGCAACGCGTGACAGCGAAAATATATTAAAGGAACT